CTTTTATTGCAACCCCCCCCATTTTCCACTTTTCTTTTGGTTTTTCTCGTACACCACCCCCGTCGGGTAAAACCCACCCCCCCCCCCCCCCCCCCGAGAGTGACTAAAAGTGTAATTTCAAACTTCATTTATTCTGCCGAGTCAAAATTTGGTAGAATAATATTCGTAGAGGATATTCAATCCCAGTTGCATCGGTGAGACCCATAGTGCTACCCAGTTTCACAACAGTATAATACGTGTCACGATAAGAGTTGATCCGGGGAACTGGGGATACGATTCGCGATTGGTATTACTCATAAAAATAGTACTTCTGCTCTCACACCAAACCCACCGAATTACTCAAGTTGCTATAGCTCTGCTGAATGGTAGAAGTGAACCCATTATATCGCCATGACCTCCTCGCTCTGGCTTGCCTGTGCAGCTATGGTCTCCCCCATATTTGGTAATTACTAGGTGACCATGAGGCATGATCAATCAATTCGAACACTCAGACCTCTGCTGTTATACTTCGGAATCCCGACCTCTGCGTCAAATATAGGAATGATGTCCGACTCGTCGCAATTCACCAGTGTCATCTTATGCCCATCTGGACGAAATAAGGTTCCAAGTAAGATGTACATCTCAGCCCATGCGAGGCTACAACAGCGCCACAAGTACAACTATTAGCTTAATCAACAGAAGAGGAGATGGTATTCATACTTCATTCCTAAACAGTTTCGCGAGCCCTTGGAGAACGGCACAAAGTTTTGATTCATTCGGCGGTCAATATCCCCAATCCACCTTTCTGGAACAAATTTGTTTGGACTCGGGAAGACGTCCGGATCTACATGTAGCGAGTATGCTGCTATTCCCACGGGAGTCTATTTACGGGTTATTCTAATTATCAAAAAGCCAAGGGGTGGCAATTATACATTCTTGGGGATCGTATACTCTTTGTAATGGAGATCCATATCAATAGAGGTTCGAATGGCTCTTCCAAAAAAACGATTAATCCTGACATTGGGACTTCATGTCAGATTCTTCATAATGTATATTTATTCATAAAAGATTCGTAGTAGTAGAAAGGCTCACCTTAAAGACTCTTTGATGCATGCGACGAGGTATGGTACTTTCTCAAGATCGGCCCATAGAGGTACTCTCTCCGGATAGCATAACGTAACATCTTTCAACTCTTCACGGAGACGTTTCTCGATATTTAGGTCGGCCAGGATATAGTAGATGGCGATTGTAAGGGTGTATGCAACAGTTACAGTACCGGCGCCTAGTAATGTAAAGGCTTCTGCTGACAAACGGGCAGCATTCTTTTCAGATTCTGGAATATCGCTTCGAAGAAGGTGATGGAATATGGAAAACTTCTCATCTTGATTTTCTTTTGCTTCGTTTACGACCTCTCTCCGAACCCTTTGAACTTGGGATTCACTAAGCTAGATCAACAGCATCAGCAAGACCGCAACGACCACTACAAGTGAGTTGCCATGACCCACCACATGAAGCATCTTGAATCCCACCATACCCGAACCAAAGTAGCGTAGTAAAGTTAACGGTAGCATTTGTACAATCCTAGATTTGTCAATTCACCCCCCATGCAGCAAACAATGCTGTGTAACACTGACTCACTAAGCCAGGGAAAGCTGCGTACTAACGGAATAACTCTTAGCATATAGCGAAGTGTATTATGCCTAACCACAGTCAGTATTTTCAATCAAAATTTCCCGTTGGATAACTTGCCAGTCAGGGGTAAACCCGGAACCATTGACCAGCTGAGGGCGTTCACCACAAGCAAGCTCCCCGATGATATCTCCAGAGAACGACGTGAAAGCATGGTCGAGCCGAACTAGTGTGCCGCTTCCTTTCGCGTCTTTCAATTTATCATCTAGTACCCTGATCTCATTATGAATCACAGACTCGACACGTGTAACGCCCTGGCGAGAGAAGAAGCTCTCTATGGGTTTTCGTCTTTGTTGGTGCAGCTCGTGTGATATACTCATGAGTATGGTGTCTGTTTATTAATTGTTAGACTGCATCTTGTGCAATAGACTGATAGCCAACCTTTCAGGCCAAGTCCAATGCGACGGCTTGCTTGGATGCTGGTCCTATGGCTTTTTGCAGACGCAAAGACATCATTATAAAATTCAGCATCATTGATTGATAGCTCCCAAGGAGTAACTCGCACAATGGGACCTGATTAAGTCATGAGACCTCGTTTCCAATAATTTGGGAGTCAAGTACTGTACCGTATCTCTGGTGCATCTGTTCTAGTATTTCTGGGAAATTGTTGGTTGATAGATCAAAAAAGGTCTCGTACCAAGAAGTCACGGCGGCGATCTTGGGGCCGGGAAACCTTGACAGGGGCGAGAAATACAGGCGGCTGATACTGACGACTAAGGTGTAAGAAAACACGAATATAGCTAGCCCGACCAGGAGGTTCCAATGGCTGTGACAACCAATCACTTGGAAAAGTGTCCCAGTGTCCAAACCCAGCTCCTTGAGGCTGTCACTGAAGTAGAGAGTGGGAGGATTATCCATTATGGGCCCTCTAAGAACTGAAGCCTCTAGTCCAGAATGTTTTGAAAATATGCTGAGCATGACAGGTAATCATGACCTATCAGTTAAGGGGGGGTCACTTTAATATCTCGTTCTCTAAGAGGCTATCAAGTTTCGCCATAAATCGAAAGCAGAAGGTAAGTGTGGAGAGTGACATGCAAGAAGTGGCTTCCCACAACAGATCATGATAATAGAAAGAAGAAGAGTGGAATGAGAGTCATGGAGGATGTAGAGTACCTATATCAATTCGTATGCGGTTGATGTAATCACAATACCAGGGGTTCTCTAAACGCCATAAATTCAAACACTGGTTGGCTTAAATGGAGAAAGCGCCCTTAATTATGTGACCAATCTTAATGAGTTCTGAGAATCGTTTCGCTTTCAGCCGGTGGCAATAAGATAGAATACTTTTCACCCCTCGTAAGGTGCCACCAACAATCAAAGTTATTCTGATATTCTCTTCATACATTAGATAAGATGTAACGCATGTCATTGCAGGAAGCACGATTAATTATCACCCGAAGAATTATCGTTCCGTTCTTCACTCTCGTCCCATGAGCCCGCATCATTCGGTCGTGATACCTCCCGATAAGAAACATTTTCGTACATGTATTACCTTTGATTTTCTCCTGTGATAATTACCTTCGGATAAAAGACATTTTCGTGAATGCATTGCCGTTACATATCTGTTGTGATACCTCAGGATAAGAAACATTTTCGTGTATGCACTACGTGCATAGTTTTGTCGCGATACCTCGGGACAAAGCACAACTTCTTCTCCAAAATGCAAGGTATTAAGCCATCGATTATTCACCCGAGGTCAGGAAGGACTGGTCCAATTGTATATAGAGTAAAGGTGGGCCTTTGAGACTGGAAAGGGATCCGAATGGATAATGTGGAACTTCATAGTGATATTTCTGTCGTATTGGTATGTTTCATTTCCATGCAACGGTAGACCAAATGCCGATTCGGTAAGAGCTCTAAACTGATAATTTTGGTTCGCGACAGATGATAAGGCACGCCGGCGAAAAGGATCCTATGATGTAGAAAGTATGCTAGCTAGACACAATAGACGGAGCACGGAAAAAGAAAGGTTGGCGGTATGTGATATCTCGGAATGTACGATACATGGATGCGACTTAGAGGTACCGAACGCCGTATGTAGCATGACTTGGCACTGCCAGCGGAACGCCAGAATGAGTGTATTCAGTCATGTCCCGTTACAGAGGTACTGAGGTGCCTTGGAGGTCAAGTATGCCGCTGGCTTTTCCATAACATAGCCTCATATCCGTGACGAACCCGAAAGGCGTCTAAACACTAATAAAGGTATCGCTATCCTGAATAGCTTCAAGCTACGCTCAAAGCCACTTTAGAGACCTCTCCACAAGAACCATCACGTTTCATAGTAATACTAGCAGATAGCATCTACCATACTCGTCATGGAATACCAATACTCACATGTCATTGATCCAAGGTCTTACGATAATCTTGGACTCTGTGATGGAATCCCATTGCGGGTTCACCGAAACGCAGATTTAGAAGAAGCAGGCACTATTCGCTTGAGAGACGACTGGCGCAAGTATGTTGGGCCTTTGCCTGGGACAAATGGTGGCAACATAGGGCCAGTTTACAGCTTTACTTCGGTCACCATTCCAGAATGCCTTCCAGATCGACTTGAAGTTGTTTCCTATGTGATGGAGCTTGGCTTTCTTCATGATGATTTAACAGACACTTCGAAAGTTGACGAGGTCAGTATACCTTTATGATTAGTACGGCTCTCATCATAGAGAGATTCATTGAGAGACAAAATATTAAGCGATTTGAGAGATAAGTTAGCACAAATCGAAGGAAGCCCGTTATGCTCAGGTGAAGGGCGCATCATCCAAGATGTGGTAGAGGAATTGATTGCCATAGACCCCTTCAGAGCCAAGGAGCTAGTCAAGGATGCGCTTAACTACTGGAAGCGAAGCTTGGGCTCTCGTCAACACCGAATACATTTTGCCAACTTCGAGGATTACCTAGAGTACAGAGTTACAGATTGTGGTTCACTGTAGGTTCTCTCCACCGTCAACTGAGTATTACTCATGTTTGACCTACAGCTTCTTGTATGGGTTGGCGACCTTTGGAATGTGTCTTACTATTCCAGCTGAGGAAAAAGACGAGTGTTTTAGACTCTCTCGACCAGTTTGGGCAGCCGCTGCTCTTACAAACGATGTCCAGTCCTGGGACAAAGAATTGAAATGTAAGTATCACACGGCTCTTTAACTAATAATTCGACTGCCTTTTGAGAGGAAACGATATTAACAGAAGATATTATAGTGGTAGGGTCACAAGACACAAACAACATGGTTAATAGCGTTTGGGTATTGATGAAACAGCACTCAGTTGATGTGGATACAGCCAAGGGCATGATCCTTGAAAAAGTCCGCTATTTCGTTGCTGAGTATGTTGATACCGTGAAAAATGTTCATGATATGGACAAGCTGTCCCTTGATTCGAAGCGATTCATTGAGACAATGCAGTACATGATCAGCGGGAACCTCCTCTGGAGTGTTTCGACCCCAAGATATCACCCGGACTGTACGCTGACGGATCTTCAAATCTCCCGAATGAAGCACAACTGGCTTATTGACCATAACAGAGCGCACAAAGCGAGAAATGGGGCCAATTGTCTTGCAACCAGAAACCTCGAAGTCCAGAATGGAAACACTGATGAAGCCACTGGGCATCGGCAAAAAAGAAGCTTGATTCTCAATGGTACACCAGTTTTAAGTGACCAAGACGTGTTTACTACTACAATTCCTTCTAGCTTGTCGCCCACTGTAAGACTCAATTACTACAAATCTATTCGGCTTACAATACTGATAATGGGCAAGATTGTTCAGTTGCCAGCTCAATATATCGCCTCACTACCATCGAAAAACGTACGGGATAAGACTATTGATGCTCTCAATAGTTGGCTGTCTGCCTCGCAAGTCGACACGGCCAAGATAAAATGTATCATCAATGTGCTTCATAACGCTTCGTTACTTCTCGACGATGTTGAGGACTGTTCAAAAATTCGCCGGGGACAAGCGTCAGCACATACAGTTTTTGGAACATCCCAGACCATCAACTCAGCTGGACATCAAATCATAGAGGCAATGCATCAAGTCCGTCAACTAGGCGCCTCAGAATGTCTTGATATCTTCGAATGTGAGAGATATATCTCTGCAAACTAGCTTTCAACTATATCTTGACTAAGTCTATGACGATTATAGATGAGATCCGGAAGTTGTATGTTGGACAGAGTTACGATCTGTTCTGGACTCACAGCACTAGTTGTCCATCGGTGGGGGACTATGTCAAGATGGTGGACCATAGTAAGTCACGCTTTAGCCTCAGCGCTGGTCTAATAGAAGAGATGCATTTACCAAGGCACTAGAAACAGGGTCCCTTTTCCATTTGCTTGCGAGGCTTCTCACTACAGTTTCTACGTCCTCAATTCGGCCAAACCTAAAAACGCTCATGACCTTGGTGGGAAGGTACTTCCAGATCCGAGATGATTTTATGAACTTGAGCTCAGTAGAGGTATGCCACGAAAATTTAATTGTCAGAAAGGGAAGGCGGTGATATTTACGTTCCATATACTGGAATGCTAAGAATTTATATATAAGACCTTTATCCAGCTAAATGACTGTATTATAACTTAAACTTTTAGATATTTAATAGGATTATATATATTACTTTTAATAGGTTATAAGCCCGGACGTTTATCTAAGCGTATTTTTAGCTGTTAAGGGTTAAAATTACACTTTATTTCTAACCCTCCATTATTTACGAATATAAGATAATAATACGCATTAAAATTCTATTTTATTAATCCTACGGATGAAGATTATATTAAAATATTACTACTTCGAACAATAGTTAATAAGGCTAGGTTTTAAGGGCTAATTTAAAGAATTTTCGACCTATTAATTCCTTAAAATGGATAAAAGCTAAATAAATTATATATAACTAGCTATTTAAAAATCCCTAACCTAACCTTTTCCTTTTAATAATTATAGGAATAATTATAATTATATTATTAATACTTAATAGTAAAAATGTTATTAAATATTTATTATAACCTTTATAATTAAATATAACTTTAAGCATTTAATACTATTTGTTTTTTAAATATTTAAGCTTTTTTCTAATTTTATATATAAAGTTTTAATATAGTTTAAATACCTTTTTAATTAAAAAAATATAAGTAATTAAAATATTAATTCAAACTTAAACTATATTAATTAACTACCTTTATCTTTATTATTGTTATTAAGGGCATCCGAAGTCTTTTTTTACCTCTTAATACCTAACAATTAAGATCTTTTTAGTTATAAAGTTAATACTTTACCTAGTTACCGAACTTTAAAACTAACTACTTTGGAAGACTTTTTCATTAACCTTAATACTTCCCTTTTTAATATCGATTTTTAAATTAAAGAACTTAGTTTAAATTTACCCTTTATTTTAATTAAAAACTTTTAAGGTAACTACCTTATAAATCCTTTTTTATTAAATGCCTTTTTAAAAGATTTATATTAATAATATATTATAATATTAAACTTTAAAAAAAAAACTAATTAGGAATTATTAATTATTACTTAACCCTATATTATAAAACCCCTTATAGCTATTAACCTATTTATTAAACTAATTAAGCTAACCTTATTAACTATTATTATACTACTTATAATATTAATAATTAATTAAAATATTGTTAAATAATATTAAAAAGTTTAAAAAGGTAGCCTTTTTTAATAGTTTAAAATAATAATTAAAGTAAAGCTAAAATATATAAAAAAAACTTAATATAAATAGGTTTATTTAAATACTATTAAAAGGGCTTTATAAAATAGCCCTTTAATAAAAAAAAGGAAAAGGCAAAAAAACCTTTTTCGCTAGGAAGAATAAATAGTTTAAAAAACGTAATATAACCAATGCTATAATCTAAAGTAAACTATTATAAAATACCTATTAATAAATTTAACCTATATTAATAAAGCCCTTTAATATATCTACTTTACTATAAAATAAGCTATATTAAAACTATAAGCTTAAAGGAAAGGCTTAATTTATATAATATTATTAATAATAGGAAGAAATAACGTTTAAATCCATTAATAGTATTATTTAATTTATTATTATATTATAATAAATTTAAACAGATATAATTAAGCTTAATCTAGCTTTAGCTTAACTATATTTATATATTATTAAAAAATTTATTAATAGTTTTAAATTTAAATTTAACTTTTTTTTAATAACCTAGGAAATTAATACC